AAAAAAAAAAAAAAAAAAAAAAAAGGAAAAGGAAAGGAAAGAAAGAAAGAAAACAAGCTACAGCATATTACAAGTGTAAACAAGCGCAAAACGGTAAGGGATAGACCACAGCACACTTTTTTTTTTTATCGGAACAAATTGCTTTTCCGGCCGAGGGTGAATATTCTTATTTTTCTGCCGATTTAAGGCTGAAAATATTCTTGTGAATATTCTTAGATTATAGCGTATGACATTCTGTTTTGGAATGTATTTGGTGTCTGGATGGTGTTAAAGTAATTTTGAAGCCAGCCTGCAGGCATCAAAGCCTGATATGACACACATAACTTCTTGCAAAAATATTATTGGCATCAACCGTGCGGCTAGTTCTGTTTTTGTCGCTTTTTGGCTAGTTTTGCCGTTTACAGAAAGGGAGAATTTTATACGGTTCAGTTAAAAACATGTAATTGCATTGTATTTACAAATTTTCAACACACAAAATCACATTCTTTTCAAAATCTTAGCCTCGAGTTTATTCTTAAAATTTCGAAAACTTCAGCCTCGATATTCTTATAAACTATATTAATATTCTTATAAAAAAAAAGTGTACACATTTTTACTGCTGTTTCTAAACGGCATAGCAAGTAACGTTCTATACTGAAATCACCGCANAAAAAAAAAAAAAAAAAAGGAAAAGGAAAGGAAAGAAAGAAAGAAAGAAAACAAGCTACAGCATATTACCAGTGTAAACCAGACCACAGTACACTTTTTTATCAGAGCAAATTGCTTTTCCGGCCGAGGGTGAATATTCTTATTTTTCTGCCGATTTAAGGCTGAAAATATTCTTGTGAATATTCTTAGATTCTATACGGTTTAGTTAAAAACATGTAATTGTATTGTATTTACAAATTTTCAACACACAAAATCACATACTTTTCAAAATCTTGGCCTCGAGTTTATTCTTAAAATTTCGAAAACTTCAGCCTCGATATTCTTATAAACTATATTAATATTCTTATATTAAAAAAGTGTACATATTTTTACTGCTGTTCCTAAATGGCATAGCAAGTAACGTTCTATACTGAAATCACCGCAATAATTATACAGTATGCATTTGAACTGAGTGTGCTCAAAAGAGTACCTCTCTACTTCTGTTGAGAACCTCTGTATCGTTGTTAGGTATTGCCTCAAATATTTCCTTCAGCTCATCTGAGTGCCTTGAAACTGACAGCTGAATAGACTCCTGTTTGGCAATGGCAGAAATTAGATCACAAGTTGACTTACACGGTAACATATGTAAGTTGATACATGTACAAGTGGATATATACTAAAAGATCATATGTGTGAACTGTGGAGAAAGATATGAGGACATGATTGATCATCGCAGATATATGCACAACTTACATTGTAAGCAGCTGTGAAATTAAAGCCTGAGAAAAATTCATCACAGCCTAAGTTGTTTATATCACTGCGATGAGGAATCATGTGTTCATATGTAAGTTGATATATATTTTCAATACAGCCCCCGACATTTCGTAGGATTTTTCGTTCCCTCCAGAATTCGAGAGCTGTAATAGCACGTAGTTACTGAAGGGCTTCATTGACTACATGGTGATTTTCGTGACTTGCTCTGAAAAATACCGTTGTGAAGGGGGGAACGCAACACTCACCTCTAATGTCGAAGTTCTTCTCTTTTCCATATTAAGCTGCGACGTCGTTTTTACCAATTCACTTTCCAGTTCTTTTATTCTCACTTTAAGAAGCAAAGAACAACAATTTCTTAGTTGTTTAACACTCTTGTAGCTAAGTGTCGAGTATGAAATGAATACATCATAAGATTACCTAACAAAATTGTCTGCTGACTTTCCAACTCATCTTGGCTTCTGTAAATACAACCAATCAACAAAAAATTGCGATTATTCTATTACACTAAATTTGTGTTATACAAATGATAACTTGAGAGTCTAAAAATGTTCAATAAAGTTCTTTTAACAAAGTAAAAGGCACAAATCTCTCATCTTTTGTGACTAAGATATGCACACCTTAAAACTCTACACACCAACCCGAGCACGAAAACAGTTTGTTACCTACATTACATGAAACCTAGCACGCCCTTACTTTCTAAGTTTCACAAGTTCATCTTCCAGTGTTGAACTTAAAAGTTTCTGAAAAAAAGAGAAGAGAAAACATCATGAGAGTGAAGAAAATCAACAAGTAAGACTCAACTGTGATTATGTAAACATGTATTAATTTTCTTCACTTGCCAGCTGTTCGCGTGTATTAACAACGAATCACGACTGGCGGATGCATTCAATACCCAAAGTAACAACTTGCCTCATTGTCAACAGGTGTAAATAATGATAACTTTACCTCATTTTCCAGAGATCTTGTGAGACTTTCTTTCTCGTCCCTGATTTTAAATGGGGAAAAGGTTTCAGTTGCAGTTAAAACCCTTTGACTAGTAACTGGCCGCACTAATTAACTCGACTGATCTATGGTTTGGCCCACAAAAATGTGGCCCTTATTTAAAACCAGATGGCTCAAAGGCAGGGTGGTTTCCATTGTCAAAACAATCGTTTTCCCTTTTACCTAAGGAAAGGTCAAATTTTTAAGTCTTGCAAGCTTATAGAGTAGCCCAGACAATATTACAGAAGGGGTTCCATTCACATCTAGGTTAAGTGGCAGCCTGAAGTAATTCAAAGGGAAACACTTAAAATACCTTGCTACAAAATTATATCAGTTACAAACAGTTCTTTTCAAACCTACCTAGTTTTAAACAAATCCGAAGTGACTGCTGATAGCTGTGGGATAAAATTCAATATTTTGTAAGGTACAAGAATTTACTGGATAAATTAACGACATCCATTACACTGCACATTTACCTGCTGTTCAAGAAATCCCAATTTTTCACTCTGCTGTGTGACAGTTTTCATGTCTTGTTCATGTTTCCCCTCAAGCTCCAACATTCTAAAAGAAATGTTTTACATAAATCTTTGGGAGGAACATTTAACACTTAATGCCTGGCCCCGAGGGGAACAGTGAATTTGTTTCCCGAGAATCTCAATGTTTCCCGAGACGAAATTTGTTATATTGCAAAACAGATGGGTCAAACCGGTGGAAAACAAATAATCACTTTATTGACAAATGACGTGCAACAGCGGTCAACATTTCGCGGGTAACAGTGAGCTGTTTCCCGTTTGACGTCATAGTATTCGCTATGTTGCTCGCTCGTGGCATTTGGCGGGAAACAGTTTCATTGTTAGATGTCATGTGACCATGAACTAGCCGATAAATGGGCGCGAAGTAGCGGGAAAAACGCCAGCTATGTCACAATAAGCACTTGTGACTGGCCCCGTGGGAGACAGTGAGTTTTGTTTCCCCTCGACCTCAATGTTCCCCTCGGCGACCTCCCAACTCAAAGTAGAAAAAAACTGCGAAGAAATCGTTTGCTTTGCGCCGACTGGCTCACAAATTTGCCGGCGCGGTTTCAAGGAGCACGACCTGATCACGTGCGAGTCGAAAGTTCATGTTGTTGTTTCCCTAGGGAGTTAGTGAGTTTTGTTCGCCCTAGAGAGTTGGTGAGTTTTGACCCACGACACGTGACACGTTTTACTCCAATCGGAAAACGTATTTGAGTTGGGGGTATAACAAAGCGATTTAGTTACATTTATTTCCTATTATTTCCTCCTGATGGGTTTATCCCTTTGCAGATTACAAAATGTAAATATCGATGTGAAACATTTTATACATGTTTGCAAAATTTTCTTGTGACTGATTTACTGGAGCCAGGGAGCAGATCCAGTCACTCTTACCTTGTACTCATTTCGTCATTACAAAGAGACATTGTTCCTAACTTTTGATAAGCTTTACTTCTCTCCTCAAAAAACTGCTTGTTCTCTTCTGTCGGGTCAAAAGAAAAAAAAAAAGGTTGGGTGACAGACCAAAAATTAATTGCTGTTCCTTAGTTGATGCGACTTCAAACGAACGGAAAGAATGAGATGTGCAAATTCAAACAACGGCACTGTTTACATTAACTAACCTTTAAGCTTTTTCACAGTAGCTAAAAGTTTCATGGTCCTACACAGGTAGAAACAAAGTACATTCTCATTGAAATTTATTTTCAAAATGAAGATAATAAAATACATAGAACTCAATAACTGAAAAATGTGCAACAGCTTTTTGTAGTGTGATTCAAGCTCCTAAATAAAGTTGTGAGTACACACGCTACAGGATATTTCGTTTTTTGGTTTCTACATAAGGTCCTATAAACTGCTTTATTTACAATTATACAAACATTCAAACCAATCGTTTATACGTGCACATGTATCTATTTATTTATTGTACATGTAACATGGCAATAAAAGTAAAGTGCAGTTACTCTAATACAATAACTACAATACATGTAAGTAAAGACTAGCATTTAACAGAGCAGCGAAGCATTTCTGTATTTCACAAAACGTACCTCTTCTCTGCAGCTCTCTTTTTTGCACAGAGAGTTGACACTCTCTCAGCAAATGTATCCAGCTCTTGGGTTAACTGCTCCCTTAGAACCTAACAGTTCAAAGAAGTACACATGATCATGCACAAATAGACCCACAATGTATCAAAATCACTTGCCATGTTAAAACTAACACAGTCAAATCCTGTTACATGTAGTAATCTTCTTAGCACCTGTAACTGTCTTATCAACAGACAGATATGACAACAAACATCTTTATTACCTCCTGTTTGTCTTTAACTTCTACACTTCTGTCCAGTGCTGCTAATTCATCGATCTGTTTCAGAGCCCTTTCTTTCTTCTCATTGAATTCATTCGCCTTGAAAAGAGAAAGTTAAGCAAGCCAGTAATTGTAAACGTAAAGTTGAGTAAGAGAGATTGAATTTAGAAGATGTACACATGCAACTGCAATACACATACCAGTTGTGTTGCTGTTATACTGTATTTTTCAAAAGTGGCATTTGTACTGGTTGAGTCTATTGACAATCCAGACAGCCATGATTGATCCAAGTCAGTCAATGACGTATCCACCTCACTACCATCCAGGCTATCATTCAAACTGAATTGACCACCCACCATTGGAGAAGGAAGACCCTTGGTTTCACTGGTCTGCATGAAAATCAATTAAAAATGTATTTGTTGTACCCACTCTGGCATTTTTTGTTAGTTGCATTTAGCTTGTCTGGGGTGATTCCTGGAGCCTTAGTCTAATTAAGAGGTATCAGAGTCTAATTTTGTGGGCATAGCTCAAGACTACATTATATTTTGTCTTTTTTTTAAATTTTAAGAGGTTTCAATTTTCAAATGATTTATTTTCTTATTTTAGCTTAATTATCTAAAGGACACCAGGATCAGAGTCAGCCGCTCCAACCACCCTATACTGCACCCTACTGTCAGTTTAAATAACCTTGTTTACTNATTTGCAACTATTCACAGAAAGGTGTTGAATTAATTCATACATGTACACACCTGTGTACACTGCTAAACACAATAATAATTTCAAAGTAATGTAGGTTGTCACTAACCTGCTTGTCTTAACTCTGCATTTTCTTTATCGTTTCCCTTGCTCTTTTCAATGATCAGCTGAGAACTAAATTATAACAAAAACATGGCTTTCTTCCCACTTCATTTACTGCAGAGTTTTACAAAGTACATGTACTTTTACACATGCAGACCCTTACTAACAGTAAATTGCTAGACGTACATGTACAAGTAACAAGTGTAACTGGAAATAACACAGTTCAGCAACATAAAGAGTAGAGCTTAAAGAGACCATAAATACTTGGCTACAGAAATATATATGTGAATTATTAATAAACTTTAAACAACTTGCTTCCCAGTTTATCAAAATTTCATGATAGAACCAGTTACAATATGTTTTTACATGCCTTTTATTCAGATTGGGAGTATGATCACACAAAACAAAAATATATCATTATATACCCAATCTTAAACATGCACATGTTTGTAAGGGTCTAACATTACACAACACGAATGCACATGAAATGTGCATCACCTTCTCAACTGCTTTCGTAGACCCTCTATTTCTGCAGTAAGTTGGCTGTTTGCTTCCTCTGTACTTTCCATCTATAGCAAAAGGGTAACAATAACATCAATTGAAAGAACACTCTACAAATATGGCATTATTTGATTAATTTGGATAACAATGTACATGTATATACAAGTCAATGTATGTGAGCTTCCTTAACTTTAACATAGTACACAAGTCATATACATGTACATGTATTTCTACATACAAATTCCGAGTCTCTTATATCAGAGGCAAATTCACATGAGTTCCCTATAAATGGTAGGAAACACAGATGGATTCCATTTATTTAACAACTTTGAAATGCTTCAAGATTTACAGAATACAGTCATTATTATATTATTAATA